CCCACCCTCTGGTGCTGGCACCACTGCCTCAGGGAGCCCGGCTGGGACAGCAGATTATTCATTGCCAGGTGCCCGGCCGTCCTTTCTGCTTTCTGGCCCTGATGTCCTGACCCAGGTGCCACCTCAGCTCAGAAGAATGTGAGGGGGGGGGGCGCGGGGCAGAGGGTTAACCCTTCCCAGGCAGCACCGGCACCGGCACCAGCACCGGCACCGAACTCCTCCTCTCGGGGCTCTGAGCCCACGAGGGGCCCTGTGCTCCTCCCCTCTGGCCGGCGAGTGGTCCCTGGACACAGCACGAAAGCAAACTCACAGCCCGGCAGGGGTGGCTCAGTGGTTGAGCGTCAACCTATGAACCAGGAGGTCGGGGTTCGAGTCCCGGTCAGGGCACAGGCCCGGGTTGCGGGCTCAATCCCCAGTAGGGGGCGTGCAGGAGGCAGCGGATCCATGATTCTCTCTCATCATTGATTTTTCTCTCTCTCCCTCTCCCTCTCCCTTCCTCTCTGAAATCAATAAAAATATATTATTTTTTGCCCTGGCCGGCTTGGCTCAGTGGATAGAGCGTCAGCCTGCGGACCGAAGGGTCCCAGGGTCGATTCCGGCCAAGGGCACATGCCCGGGTTGCGGGCTCGATCCCCAGTACGGGGTGTGCAGGAGGCAGCCGATCAATGATTCTCTCTCATCATTGATGTTTCTATTTCTCTCCCCGTCTCCCTTCCTCTCTGAGATCAATAAAGATATATTTAATAAATAAATACAAATATATCATTTTTTTAAAAAAGAATTCACACACTTCTCTCCTCCGAGACATGCCTGACCCCCGAGCTCTGGGCGGCGTGTGAAGACAGTCATACACCTGGGGGGCTGTTCCGAGCAGTTAGACACCCGAGAGGCATCGCTGACCCGCAGTGGGTGTGCGTCAAGGTGGGTCCCCTCCCCCTCCTCACGGGAGGCACGACCCGGACGGCCGGGGGCCCCTGTGCTCACGAAAGAGCCGGGCAGAGGGGCCCTGAGCGGACGGAGGTCCTGCACCTCAGACCCCACGGCTCCTGGCCACTCTCCTGGACGAACCAAGTGTCCACCTCCGTCCACCTTCGTCATCTCATGGCCACCGAGACCGGGCTGGGTGGAGAGGAGGCCGGAGTGCCCACGTCAGAGGCCACACCTCCCTGAGGGAGAGGAGGAAATTTCCCAGGTGAGAAGGAGGCTGAAGACAGACGCGAGACCCCGCCCGCCCTCGGCCCGGCTCCCTGGAGCTGGCAGGGTCACCACGCCGGCTGCACCC